CGCGGCGGGGCGGCGGGCCCCGGGGGGAGTCCAGGGCGATTGCAGGGGCAGCAGGGCCGGCTCCCCCCACCCGGTCTCCAGCAGCTGTTTGCACTGGGTTCGGTGGCTTGGGCTGGCGGGGCGGGGAAGGGGTGGAAGTGAAGCAGGGGCCTCCCGTGGACGCTGGGCCTGGGCCAGGCTGAGCCGGCCGTGCCTGTGCCGTAGGCCTGGACCATGAGCTGGCCTTCTCCAAGATCATCGTGGAGCTGCGGCGGAGGCACCCGGGCCACATCCTGCCGGACGAGGACCTGCAGTGGGTGTTCGTGAACATGGGCGGCTGGATGGGCTCCATGTGCCTGCTGCACGCCTCGCTCACCGAGTACGTGCTGCTCTTCGGCACCGCCATCGACACCGGGGGTCACTCAGGTAAGCGGTTGCTTCCACCCCTTCCCTGATGGCCGCTGGGTCTCGTGGCTGCGGCCCCACGCTCTCCCCTCCCCGGGGTCCCTGCACAACCTGCCTGGCAGGGAGCAAGCCCAGGCTGCTTCTCCGTTGGACTGCGGCCCCAGCCACTGGAGAGAGGTGGGGGGTGCTCAGGACCCAGCACAGCCCTCCCCGTTCACCTGCGGCTGATCACTAGAGCCCCCCTCGTTCCCAGCGCCCGCAGGGCCCTGTGATCAGTTATCTGAGCCCCATAGCACCCGGGCACGCTCTGATCCTCGGTCCAGCTGGACTGGTCTCAGTGGGGGCAGACGGCAGGACAAGAAGCAATGGGCTCAGGCTGCAGCAAGGGAAGTTGAGGTTAAATATTAGGAAAAACTTTCTCACCGGGAGGGTAGTAAAACACTAGAACAGGTGACCCGGAGAAGTGGTGGGATCTCCATCCTTGGAGGTGTTCAAGAGCCGGGTAGACAAAGCCTTGGCTGGGATGACTTAGTTGGGGCTGGTCCTGCTTGGAGCAGGGGGTCAGACTGGATGTGACCTCCTGAGCTCCCTGCACCCTCATTTTCTACATTGTAAGCCAGGCTGCAGGGCACTGCTTTGCTGCACGGGCCCAGCTCTCTCTTTCGGACAGGTCTGCTTTGCGAGGCAGTTCACTAGGAAGGGAGAAGGGGGCCGAGCCACAGAGCCTGGCAGTGGGCATGCCAGCAAAAGGGGACCTGCTCAACCGGGTCTGCCCTGGGGCTCTGCACGCTGGCTTGCTCCCCATCTCCTCCACAGTCACGGTGCCTGAGCACCAGCTGGTCCCACCAGTATCTGGGGCTGCTGCTTATGGAGACAAGTGGGCAGTTGGGCTAGGGAGATACGTAGCTAGACCCCAAGGCATCGGCCCCACTGGGCAATGACCGCGGTGACCGGCTGGCAGCTGCCCTGGTGCGTAGCATGCCCAGGCCTGGTCACCTGCCTGTGGGAGGTGGTGTTAGGGCATGTGGGGAGCCCCACGGGCTCTCAGGCTGGTCTCCCCAGAGCAGGGAGGCTGATCTGAGATGGGCCAAGGTGGGGAACCGACCGCTGGTGGCACCGTGCAGACAGGGAGACTGGTGCTAGAGGACGTTGCTGGCACCCGAGCCTGGCTCGCTCTGCTCTGCACAGCCAGGACTCCTGGGTTCCAGCTGGCAGGACACGTTACGCCAGCCTCACCTGCCAAGGACTTGGGGGCGGAGGAATGTGTTTGGGGCAAGGATTGTTTTGGACGGCCTTGCCCTGCCAGAGGCTGATTCAGCACTAGGAAGCCGGCCCGGCCAGTCCCAATCCAGCAGGGCTTGGCACTGGCCCAGGACTGCAATCAACCTGTTGATCCAGCATCTCTGCTCCCTCCCTGCCCAGCTGAGCCTCCCATCTCCTCTCCAGCACCTTGATCCCACGCCTGGATGTACCCCTGGGGCAGAGGGAGCCTGGGGCCGTGCCCCAGCGCCCTGGCATGACCCAAGCCTCTCTTGCAGGTCGCTACTGGGCTGATATATCAGACACGATCATCTCAGGGACCTTCCGGCAGTGGAAGGAGGGGACAACCAAAAGTGAGATCTATTACCCAGGTGAGTGCGGGGGGCCCCTCACGCCTGTGCTCTGAGGCTGGGTCACCTCGGGACTTTGGGGGACCAGGGTAAGCGGGGAGGGGGTGCTGGGTCTATGGAGAGCTCTTCACAGCTGCCCCACGAGGCAAGTAAATGCAATGTATGCAGGAGGTATATAACTGCAGAGCATGCTGACAGGGGAGGGGGTGCTTGAGGAAAGCTGAAGTGCTGATGGGCATAGGGGCAACCCCAGGAGGGTTTATATGCCTAGCATCAGGGCTCCAGCCAGCCTGATATTGGAAGGGAGGGCGAGGAACAGGACTGTGTAGCAGACAACAGGTTTGTGCTGTCTGGGACCAGGCACAGTCCAGGTCAGCCCCTGCCCTAGCTGCCCCCGGCAGTGCTGGCCTCTCCTATGGGGTGCTGAGCTGCCCCTGCTTCCAAGCCCCCGCACAGCTGCACCAAGGCAATCCAGGGGCAGTGCTGGCAGGTGGGGGATTCTCCTTGTCCTTCCACCACCCCCCAAAATGATGGCCGGTGCATCTGCCTGCAGGGGACACCATCGTGCACAGGATGGGCGAGGCCACAGCGGTGCAGTGGAGCGCTGGGACATGGATGGTGGAGTATGGCCGGGGCTTCATCCCCTCCACGCTGACCATCGCCCTGGCCGACACCATCTTCAGCACTCAGGACTTCCTCACCTTATTCTACACCCTCCGTGTCTATACCAAGGGGCTGCTCCTCGAAGCCAGCGCCTACTTCGTCGACACTGCCCACTGAGGTCCGGGTGCTGGGGGCCGGGCCCTGCCCCTGCCACCTCTGGATGGCACCAGGGCATCCCTGCCCCATCCCCTATGCGCCCCATTCCAGCGGGCGCCCAGCAGTGGGGGCTAGCCGGACTCTGTTGGAGAAGGAAATCAGCCTTTGGGAACACCCAGCTGCTCCTCCCTGGGGGGACTGTTGTGCAGACTGGTTGCCCTGCGGGGGTCCCCAGGGGTCCTGCACACTCTTGGGGGGAGGGGGAGTTTGGGCCCAGCCGGAGGTGCTCCCAGGAAGGAAGCACGGCCAGGAGATGGGCATGCCAGCTGTGGGGGGCACGGGTTGTAACAGCCCCGTGCTGGACACTTCCATCTGCGTAGGAGCAGAGTCTAATACAAAGCCCCCCTGCACCAGCTCCAGGGTTGGCCTCCTGCCCTCTGTGCCGATGACCTGGGCCGCACGCTGCGGGTCTCCTGGAGCACCGCTGCTGCCATCAGCTCTGCCTCTCCTGTCGGTGCAGCCAGTGCCCCTGGGAGCCCTGTGGTGCCAGCCGGGTGTGCACGTGTGCATATGCATCTCAGCTGTCCATGAGTGTGCGCTGTAATGCCTTCTCCTGACAGCTCAGGGGAGCGGGGAGAGGCGGCAGAGGCCCCCTCCCCTTGCCAGGGCACAACCATCATCCATTGCCTTCACCAAGAGCCTTACTCTGGGTCTGCGCGCATGTCCAGGCTGGGGAAGGGCAGTGCTCACCCAGGGGCTGTCACCTGGGCAGAGCAGACCCAGCCCATTTCCACTGCCGTCCTGCCTCCTCCTGTCCCCTACAGCCTGCAGGCCTTGCCCCGCAGCTGTAGCATCTCATACTCCGACACCCTGGGCACCCCCTGACTGACTTATCCTGACCCCCAAGTGGGACAGGGCTGAGCAGGGAGGCAGCAGTGAAGTCCCATGGCCACCCACCCAGCAGTGGCAGGCTGCATCCTGCTTCTCCATGAAGCAAAGACCTCGGAAACTGGGTCCAGCATCCACCTTCACTGGTAACAGCCAGGACACGGTCCCCCTGGGGTGGAGGGAGGAGGATTGTGGGGGTGTTTGAGGGTGCTCTTGGGGTCACCTGCTGGCCCAAGTGTTCCCATCCCCTTGTTACCTGCTGCCCAGGGCCAGTGTGAACAGTAGCCCCCATGGCTCAGCCCTGTCCTGTTCCTCACAGAGGGCACAGCCCTGCTCCATTTCCCCCTCCCAGGGGCAACTGGCTCCCATGTGCTCTGGCCAGGGCTGCAGCTGCTCATCCGCCCAGTCCCGGTGCACCAGTGGGGTCAGGAGCTATGCACCCCCTGCACCCATCTTCCCTCTGGCTGGGATCCAGATGGCCCTGCTCTCCGCGTACCCAGCAGCGCCAGCCTCTTCTGTTCCCAACGCAGCATCAGCCCAGCAGCCACCAAATCCCATTGCTTGTGTCAGACTGGTCCTGTCCCAGCCTTTGGGGGCGACACGGTTAAGTTTGTCATCAATAAACCTACTCATGTGACCAGTCTCTGCACAGAGTCCATGCCCCATGTAAGGCCTCGGGGGACCAGGATGGGTGC